AATACTGGGGCTTTTTGGCCTGTGGCTGGTAACAGCAGTATGTATCTAGACCTGCTCTCTCCAGTCTAATAGGCATTAACTACACCTTGCTTGAAATGTGGCCAGTCTGAGTTGAGATTTCATAAGTATGAAGTGCCTGAGTTTCAAAGAGACTACAAAAAATGTAAAATATCTCACCAGTTTTATATTGAGTACATATTAAAATATATTGAGTATATTAGACTAAATAAATTATAGCATTATAATTAATCCCATCTATTTTTTTAATGTCATTACTAGAAAATTAAAACTTATTTATATAGCTTGCATTATTTTTCCATTAGGCAGTGCTAGTCTATCTGGAGAAGTATATTGCTGTTTCTAACTCCATTCCTTTTTTGGGTATATGTATATATTTAAACAAATTAACACTTAATCCAATGGTTTTAAAACATAGTATATTTAAAAGTCATGTGGGAAACTGAAGAAAGTGCCATTCATCTTCCCTCCCACTCTTACTGTATTTGGAATGTGGACAATGATTTTTTTATTCTTAATTATACAGGAGGTCCTCTGACCATACTTTAAACTCACAAGACTGATGTGTTCAGTACTGCACCAATCCTGATGGATTCTGGGAAGTTCTTCTAGTTTTTAGTTTGTAGGCAGGAACTGCTGCTGCAATAATCTCAAGTTTCTGTTGATCCTCTGAACGTTGAGCTAAGAATCTTCCACAACGGTCTTGAGATTAGATTCACCAAACTCTAAAAAGGCCAAAACCTGTAGCGCAGATTTAGTGGAAGATGGCGTGCAGAGCCCTGGAGTTACTCTCCTCCAGGTGGGAATGTGTGGATTAAAAAGAAAATTAGGGGGCCAGGGATTTATCTCAGTGGTTCCGCCACCTGCCTTGAAAGCACAAGGTCCTGAGTCTGATCCCTGGTACCAAAAAAAAAAGAAAAAAAAAAAATTAGGTCTGAGAGGGTGCCCCAGGGGTCAGGTGCATGTGAGAGGTCACCCCCAGCATAAAGAGGGGTGGGTGTGCAGGAGTGGCTGAGACAGGAGCCTTAAAAAGTGAGCCTTGGCTTCTCTACAGGAAACAAGGATTGGTCTGACACTGGGAGCAGACTGCTAGTGCAAACCTGCACATGGTATGAACAGAAAATAAATGAGCAGTCATCAAGGGCTCAGTGTAGACCACAGTGATTAGGAGGCGGATTCTGGAGTCAAACCATCTAGGTCTTATGATTATTGCCACCTTAGTCAAGTCTCTTGCCCCCTTAGAAATAGTTGTCTCCTTTCATAAATTTATTGTGAGAATAAAGTGAAGATATATATGTATATATAAAGGTAATATTGATTAGAATGGGCACTGTTAATTGGTGTCTAAAATTATTCGGTGTGACTAAAATTGAGGCATAGGTCATGCTTCCATCACAGTATTCATATTACAGTGGTGACAATGAGACCTGTAACATTTAGCTCAAGAATAATGAAAAATGTTGACTTTCAATATTAGAAATGAATGCTTACGGAATAATGCAGAATCTAGATCATGTGCCACAATACCAATACTATGTGCAATTCAAATTCTGGGCTCCTAAAGTGTAAATTTCTGGAAGGAATTTCGATATAAGTTCCCAGGAGTTTTGAAGCTGTCATTGTCCATAATTCAAGTGGCCATAAAAGAATTTTGGGCAGAGAGGATGACTGGGTTAAGCATCAGTTCTTTGAACAAGGGCTATCTTGAAGACAGAGAACCTCATTAAAGTGATCTTGATGAGTACTGAAGGAATTACATGTGAAATTCCTTAAATAAAAATTTATTTAATTTTTAAAATATATAATATTTATATAAATATAAATTGTCTAGCATGTAAGAGCTATGAATGTTTGCTGTTATCGAATTATGGCATAGTAAAGTTTGTGAGGCAATGAACAGATGAGCATATTTTAAAATAAGGATCGGAACAGAAGGAAATTGCTCCACCCACTGCAAGGCAGCAATAGGAGCCTAAATGTTTATAGTGGACAGGTAAGTTGTACAAATATATGGGGAAGTTTATTGGGTGTTGAGGAGAGAGAGAGAGAGACAGAGAGACAGAGAGACAGAGACAGAGATATAAAATAGGGAATAATTGTATCTGGAAGAGTAGCTACCATTTGCAAATTACAGTAGTCATGTCTAGCCCTATGATATTCAAATTGAGTATACAGGCACCAAAAAAAGCTACCCAAATTTACTGATTACTATAAGGGACTAACTCGTAGTTAGCCAAATAGGTAGATTCCCAAGTTGCCATAGGTCCAGCCAGGGAGAGTGTTGTCCCCTCTACTTCGAATGTTTTTAGGGGAAACACCAGACCTCAGGGCTAAAAGACAAGGCCTGGGGATTATTTGAGCTAGATGTTCTTGGTCTTCAGAAAAAAACATTTTCTTACTCATGATGCACTTGCTTGGGGTGGTTCTTCCCCATCACTTCTTACCATCTCTAACCATCAAGAGCCCAGATTAGTTGTACGCTTAATTGAAAAAGGCCATGGATGGCAGATGGGCACTAGATGAGTGTGCCAGGCTTCATCTACCAACCACTAAGGTAATTTAATCAATTAATACAGTAATACAGCTTTCCACGTCTTCCTGTCCACCACAATGGTGCACATGAATGTCCCAGCTGATGCTCCCAAGAGCATCAACAATGCCGAAAAGAGCAAATGCCAGGTCCTCCATGCCATGCTCCAGTCATGGTCTGGCTCCCAACTGTGACGATGAAGTACGGTTACATTGACAAATTTGAAAACACTGATGATCGTGGGGCCAGAAAAATTGTTGTGCATCTCACAGATAGGTTAAACAAGTGTGAAGTGATCAGCCCCACCCTTGACGTGCAGCTGAAAGACCCAGACAAATGGCAGAAGAATCTGCTTTGGTTTCATCAGATTGACAACCGCAGCTGGCATCAGGAACCAGGAAAAAGTGAGATAAAAACACAAAGAAGGGAAAGTCCCAGGATTGTTTTTCTAGGGGTGTAAAACATATCCTCAAATAAAATGTCTCAATGGAAAGAATGTTTATATATGCTAATATAAATCTAGAAAGATTAGTCGCCCTAGGTTTCAAAAATTCACAAGAATTAAGTATGGGGGAGGAGCTGGTATAAACCACCTAATAATGTTTCATAAAATTAATGCCAGTGGTTGCTCTCTCGTGGGACATTTGCGTAACTGCTCTCCCACTGGCTGACGCCACAGCCCTAGGCATCCAGCACGAACAGTCTCCTCTCTACCAATTCCCCATGTTTCCTCTTCCCAGATGAGCTGTGAGCTTCCTCAAGTCACACATGTGTGTCCCAGTCTGTTTAAGCCAGATGTGCTTATTAGGATGATTATTTACCTTAATAAAGGGTTTATATTTATTGAGCCATAAGCAAAATCAATTTTAATATGGCAATCTTCAATTTAATAAAATACTTCTCATTTTATTGTAAGTAAATGCCTTACAATAATTTAGTAAAATGAAAAACTGAAGAACTATGGGGTAAACGGAATGAATCGCAACTATAAAAATTACATTTAGTGCCTTGTAAAGAGCCGAAGATGGTGAGTCATTTAAAAATAATGTTGCTCAGGCAGGTGTGGTGGTACGAGCGTGTCATACCAGCACACTGGTATGATGAGGCAGGTGCACAGCATAGCAAGTACAAACCCAGCCGCACAACTTAGCAATTTAGCAAGAACCTCCCTCCCCTGACCCCCCAAAATTAAAAGGTCCAGAGATGCAGTTCAGTGTGAAGACTCTGGGTACAACCCCCTGTACAAAAAAAAAAAAAGTTCCTGTTAAATAGTTCATATAGCCACACTGAAAGATGGGGGGAAATTTTAAAGTCTAAAGAAGCTGCACTCATGTTATTTTATGTGTCATGAAGTCCTCTTGCACTTCAAGGATACAGAAACTAGAAAGTAGAAATTAGGTGATTTATTAATTCCACCAGGCAGTTTCCAGTATTTTTTTATGCCAGTTATCAGCAGAATCATCCTCAAGCAAAATTTGTGACTGAATGGTTGTATCTACGATTTTAAGGCAAAACAAAATATTTAAAATATGTTTTTACCATTGAAAAATGATTTCCAAATCTTAAATGAATTTTTGATATGAAACAGTGATGGGCCACCTCTGGGTCCCAAATGCGTATAGAATAAGAAGGCTTCTGTTAAGTATTTCAAACGTCAACACGTGCACTTTTTGTGTGTTACTGAGTCTTTTCCATACCCCAGAGCATTGGCAGAAATGGATTTTGGAGACCTGGGGTTGTTTGAGGTGTCAGATCCCCCAGAAGAGTTGGCTCTGAAGCCTATTCACACCTGCTTCAAGGATGACCTGTTGGAGACCCAAGGACAAGAATGGGATTTGTTGCATGGAGCTGCAGGACCCCTCTTGGCAGCAGAGATAGCAAGAACTTAAGGAAGTTAAACATTCTCACCAAATGCAATCATTATGTACTGCAAACATTTACTAATAACATTTTTTTAAAAAGAAAGAAATTGAACGTTCCTACTCAGCCAAGTGGAATATTGGTGATCAATACCATTAGATGGACCTTTATTATAAATTATATGTACAAATGTTATTTCAAAGAAGTGTCATCAATAAATAGAGGTGTTTGTATCAAATTTATAAAAAAAAATTGAGGAGTAACAGAAAAATGGTGTGGAAAAGATTTCCCTTAATCTTTTCCCCAGCTATCTAGTATAGTGCTAGATGAGGACCATAAAGTAGAACAATCCTGCATTATTAGAGACATCAAGGAAGCTTTTCACATTGTAGAAAGTGTCCTACATTTCACTAATTTTTGCCATGTTAAATTGGGGCAACCAGTACTAAGTGAAAATCCTCAGTTTACGGAAGAATGGGAAATACCCAGGGATCAGTAAGTCTCCAGCCACATTCTTTGTCTAGGAGGACAAGAAATACAAGAAAATGCAAAAAAGTCAAAACCTCACTGTTTCCACTCTGGTTGTGAAGAACAGCAAATGACAGATTGCCCGAATGCTGCTCAGATAAGTGAAAAGAGTAGACAGACCCCAGCACTGAGGCAAACAATCAGAATTTTCAGCAGTGAAACCATGCAGAAGTAAAAGACGGATATGGAGGATTCAAGCCAGCAGTTACTAGTGAGAACCTTCAGGAATCACTGGGTGTTTCGGACCAGAGTCTTTCCCTGATATCTATCGGGTGCGCCCAGCAGGATGCCTATAGGGTGGCTCAAAGGGGCTGAGGTGGAGAACTCAGGCCTTGCACATTATGACAGAAAAGACGGCTCTGATGGAGAAACACAAGTTGGAGAAATACAACAAAGTAAAAGTGTTACTTATGAGCTCTTGAAATTGGTAAACTACCCAGGTTTTAATATATCTACTCCCAGAGGAAATCCAGGAGATCGGAGGATCTTTGGCTCCATACCTGCTCAGTTGAGTCACTGAAGGATGTACTTGCCAATTACCTTGCTTCTAACTGAACGCCCCCAGCATGAACTCTAGCAGCAAGAGGTCTTCATCTCAGTATTCTCTGGTTGTCCAAAGACACAGAAGAAAGAAAGCACGCCCATGTACCTGTGGACAAGCCTTTAACTGGGAAGAGCTCAACCTCCCTGTTCCAGAGGAGAAAACACCACAAGAGTCAACAGTGGAGGAATCTGAGGCGCCAGACCCTTGCACAAAGAGCGCCAAAGTTGAACGTCCCTTGCTTGAGTCAGCTCCTGAGCCCACATTGGTTTCTGAGAGGGAAGAGGAAGACTCCGAAGGTCTGCTTCCGGGTAATGGCAGTGTTGTGTCAAACTGTGACATCAAGAACCGGGGTAGCCAGAAGCTCCTTCGTGGAGACACCAGTCCTTCAACAGCCACTAAAATTCACCGCCCTATCCCTGATGTGACTGAGCCTGCATCTAGAATAGTGCCATTGGAATTTACAGTACGGAAGGGGCAGAACCTGGCTAAAGAACTCTCCCCTAAACCAGCTGGAAGACAAAAAGGCTTCTGAATAACTAACTACATGCCACAGCAGCAACAGCTATTTAATCATCTATGGAACTGTGCTCTGCTAATTAGTACTAAGCGGGTACACAGAATTGTTTTCCTATTTGTCCCTCCCAATCTTTCCTTTCCTTAAAATGGGCTCCCTTTGAGACCGTAATTAAACCTTGGATAGAGTTTCAAACATGGGAGATGGATTTTATTCTCATTGACAAAAACCTGGCGGTAGGTTGAACCTTTATACTGTTTTTAGTTTGTGAATGGTAAGAGTGATATTTTTTCAGTTTTTATTTTTATTAGAACACGTTTGCATTACATGACAATTACATTCCTCATAGGGAATTGGTACATGTACATAACAGGATGTTTTTCATGACATTTATATGTCTGTTGTGCATTGTTTTCCCTTTCTACAGTTTGCTAGTTATCCCATATATAATTTTAATGTATCACTTTTTAGGAGAAAAAGATACATATTTGTATTGCTCCATAAGATTATCTTATTTCTAGAAGAAAATAAATGGCATCATATTACTAAAGGATATTTTATAGTCCCTAGGAAATAAATACAGAGGTAGTGGGAGTATAATACATAAATGATGAAACAGCCCATTCAGACACCAATAACCATAACTTTTGAAACAGCCTTAAGTAGATAAATAGGAGTTATTTGAAATGTATTGTTTTGAATTTAACTTTTGTAACTTAATAATATTTTCATGTAATAAAGTATTTCAATACTATCATATAACAATTTTATACTGAGCTTAGATTTTAGGGATACTGTGTAGGAATTACTAAACATAATTATTTGATACAAACTGAACCTTATGGGTTTGTTGTTGCTGTTGTTGGCTCGGGTTTGGGGGGGATTTTTTTTGTTTTGGTTTGGTTTGGTTTGGTTGGGGGTTTTTGTTGTTGTTTTTTTGTGGTTTTTTGTTTTTGCAGAACCAGGGGATCAAACTCAGGACCTTGCACTTACCAGGCAGGCTTGGCGCCACTGAGCTACATCCCCAGCCCATTTTGTTGTTATTGTTGTTGTTTTTTTTTTTTAGACAGGTAGCTTGGCCTCATTATGTAGCTCAGGCTGACCTTGAACTCATTATGTAGCCCAGGTGGTGATCCTCCTGACTCAGCCTTCTCAGCACTAGGATTATAGGCCTGTGCCACCATGCCTAGCCAAACTAGATTTATAACATGATTTCTAAAACAAATTCACATGATTGCTTCAGTTCATCAAGTTTTTAATCAAGGATCCAGTACTCAGAGTTCCTTTATTTTTTATTCTAAATTATATTGCTTATTTGTAAATGTCTATAAAATATCTAGTGAATATGCTATACACAAAGTGAATGTGCTCTATAGAACTCCAATTTCATTAAGAGTACTGTGAAGCTAAAATAGTAGCTACTTATCTATCTTTAATGTCTCAAGTCATTTTAGAAATCAAGCGATGAGCGGTATGCGGTGATGCACGCCTGTAATCCCAGCACTTGGGAGGCTGAGGCAGGAGGATGGCAGAGAGTTTGAGATGAGAAATATTAAGTCGGTGTTCACAATTTAAAATTTTACAGGCATGCCATCAAATAACTTTTCCTATTTTCATATTTCTAAGTTTGAATGGTGGCTAATGCCTGTAATCTCAGCCAGCACTCAGAATGGTGAAGCAGAAGGATGGAAATTTTGAGGCCAATCTGGAATACATAGGCCTGTCTCAACAAACAAAAACAAAGGCAATTTATAAATTTGGTCTTTCATAGGATGACTTTCTTCTGCCAGGCATAATGGAACAAATTTTCAATTCCACTAACAAGTTATTAAGAGAATAATGTGCCGAAGGGAAAAATTGAATTCCATTTTTATTTCATTAAGTATGAACAGGGAAAAAGATGGCATGTAAGTAAAGTTCTATAGTGACTCACCTGTGCCCTATTTTAAAAATCTTCCCTATTTTCTTTTATTTTGCCAAGATCAATGATACATTTAGCAATTCAGCTGAATGACTGATTAAAGCTTTAAATAAAACTCTAACTTTTCTCCTTAGAGCAGTTTTATGTGACAGACCATGCTTCAAAAAATTATAATAAAACTCTTCTCTCTACTTGGAAATCCCAAAAAGATATAAGACATATTAGGAAGTTTTAAAACAATAATTAATTATAATTATAATGCTGAACCTGCACTTTATTTTTTTAATTTTGGTTTTAGTTTTTGAGAAAAGGTTTCACTATGTAGTCCAAGCTGGTCTCAAACTCACAGTAATCCTCCTGCCTCAGCTTCCTGAGTGCTGGGATAACAGGCATGAGCCCCCATGCCTAGCTGAACATGCACTGTTAATGGAACATGTTTTTAAATTCCCCTCCTTAACAATCAAGAACATACACTTTTAAAATGACTATATATCCCTCTTCATTTATAATGAATATAGAAATTAATTACTTTCCCTTAACTGGATAGAAATCAATATTTCTTCATTAAAAAATATTCATTGAATGTGAATTAAGCCCAGCACTCTTCTCTATAACTGAATATATAGCAGAAAACAAAGTAATCCTTATGGAGCTCATGTTCTAGTAGAGAAAGGCAGCAACAATAATAAAATTATCAATGATTATAAAGGTGAACACTAAAATTATCAAGTAATATTACTTATTAATGAATAAGTAACCTTTTCAACAATGACAAAGACCATGAAAAATAACAAAGGAGGGAAAGGAGACAGGGAGGAGATGAGGGATTGTAGGAGTTGGTTCTCCATTTTACATAGCACGGTCAAGACTGGCCTCCCTACAAACCATATTGATAGGGCTTGCGGGCCTTTGTGAAGACCTTGGTTTCTACTCTGCATAACCAGGGAATCCTTTGGAGGCTTGGGAAGAAGAAGTGCCCTACTCTTTATGAAGATGCCCAGCTGCTGTGTGGAAACAAAGCTGCAGCCAGGGACAGAGAGCATGCTGGGGCTTCACAGGGGGTAGCACAGTAAGCCATCCGCCAAACTAATCTCTTGCAGTTTCTGGAGTTGGGACATCTTTTGAAGATGGATTCTAAAAGAATCAGTAATGGATTGAATTGGGTATAAAAAAAATTGACAATTACTCCAAATGATAAATCCCCTATTTTCCTTAGGCAGCATGGCAGCCAAAGATTTTGGCCTGCCTTCACCCACCTGCCTTCCTCCTTTCTTTGCCGTCTTCTTCACTCAGAATCAGACTTGCAGCAGGTGTAGGGGCACATGCCTGTAATCCCAGCACTCAGGAGGCTGAGGCAGGAGGATCACCATCTGTTCCAAGCCAGCCTGAGCTACACAGTGAGTTTAAAGCTAGCCTGGACTACATAGCAAAAACTGTCTCAAAAAGACAAAACAAAACAAAAACCAACAACAAAAAGAACCAGACTTGCATTGCAATCTGATAGCTGTCCCAACCTCCCCTAACTCCCTTCTTTTTTTTTCTGTTATAGATGTTTACACTAATAAAGCCCTTGTTTTACAGAAAGTATTATTTTAAAAACCCTGAAGTTTCTACATAGGTTGAGTAAGAACATCTTTAAAAGTAGTACAATAGCTGCATTTAGTCAGGTGTGTCTGTAATAGGTTATAATAACCTGTAGTCAGGTTATATTGCTGTAATGAAAAAGAAAAAGAAAAATCTCAAAAGAACATACACTTCTCTTCTGCAAGTTGACTACACAGTGAAGAATTGTTCTAGGGCAGCAGTCTTCCATGGACTCTCCGGATATCCGGGTTGCTTTAATGTGTTAGCTCTTTCTTCTCAACTTGAGACCAGCAGGGGGAAGAGACGTGAAGAAGTGTGAGTGGGCTTGAATGTGACAGGCATCTCTTCTGCTGCGCTTCCTTCATCAGCACAGCTCTGCTTCACAGGATCTGAGCTGAGAAGTCTTCCGTGTGAGGGGAAGGGGAAAGAATATGGTAGCACGGTTAGTGTTGTCTACCTCATTGTAGCATTACTGTCTCATACAACACTGGATAGCGTTTTCTCTGTGACACGCTGTGAGATTTAAGGTATGGCAATCTTTCTTGTTCATCCTCACAAAACTCCTGTATGATAGATACTATTAGCATTCCTTATTTTCAAATAACAAAGAATCTGAGACACAGAAAATGTTATTTGATAATACTGCTACTAGGATGTGTAACATGCTTATTTCAATAAGTGACATGAGATCTTTTTCTTTTCTCTAAGGGCTCATGGCAATGCAGCATGCTGTAAGGCCTCCTGCATCAGGGGGTCTAATTGTCTGAGAGCTCTAACTCTGGGCTACAAAAAGAATCACTGTGTTTGCATGAAGGCCAGGTTTCCCCTCAGCTGCTCCAACCTAACAGTAATATACGAGGTGTGATCAAAATATACAATATTTAAATTTAATATACTGTAACACACATATTTACAGTAAAAGGCACATTGCCATTAATCATCCACAAAATACTACCCCTTTGCTTCAAACATACTTCTCCTGTTTTGTGAGTGTTTTCATAAATGCTACTGCCAAGTGCCCCTCAATAGAAAGGCAGGTTCATAAGAATATCAGAGGTACTCACCCACCTTATTGACCAGATCTGGCATTGTGCAACTTCCAGCTCACCCTCAAAGTCAAAATGACCAAGAAAGGTAAATGTTTTGAATAGATTCAAGACATTGAGGCAGCCACGACAGCACAGCTAAAGACATTCTGAAAGAGGATGTCCAGATCCACTTCAAAAAGTGGCAAGAATTATGAGATAAGTCGTTCAGAGAAGTGGGGAGTGTTTTGAGGGGAATTCATATTGGTGTGTCTTTTACCATAGTAATTTTTTCGAGTTTAAACCTTCACTATATTGTTCTATCACACAAGGTCTATTCCTAGCAGATATCAGAGCTCCTTGGATGATCTACTTTAGTTTGAAGACTTTCCAGTGGATTGTAGACTTTCTTTAGACTAGGTGAAGCCAAACATGCCTTCAGCTGTCCTTCTTTCTACCTGCCTGCCCTCTTTCTTTTCTTTCCTTTCTTATTCATTCAGAATCAGAATTGCATTACAGTAATGCATTACATTACTGGTTCTCCAGGCTCTCGAAGCCCTCATTTTCCTCTCATAAGTGTTTACCAAATGTCTGCATGCATATCTTACTCAGCTTTCCCATTGCTGGGAGGAAACATCTGATATGAGCCACTTCAAGGAGGAAAGGTTTAATTTGGCTCACAGTGTCAGTGATTTCAGTCCATGGGAAGCTGGCTTCCAGACAGTACCATCACAGTGGAAGGGTCTGGTGAAGCACAACTGTTCACTTCATGGCATCTAGGAAGAAGGGAGAACACCACCAGGTAGGAAGGCACCAGAGACCAGAAAGAGGGCTCGAAGTCTTGCCTCCATGACCCACCAATTTCCTGGCCGGATACTAAAGCCAATAAATTTGGCCATCAGGTTAACAGTCATTAGATATAATCTCATGTTGGCTTCTGCTTCATTTTTAGGATTTTTTTTTATTCATTAAGTTTATTGGTACATTTTATGTATACAGTATAATGGCATTCATTATTGGGAATTTGTACCTGTACTTGATGTATCTTAGTTCTTATTTTCCCCCCTTCCCCTGCCCTCCCTTCAACCCCTTCACCCCTCCCTATTTACAAAGACTTTGTTTTTTCCTTTGCTCATATTTATTCCTTTCCCTTCTTTCCTTTCCCCTACCCCTCCCACTTCCCCTTCCCTTTTGAACTTTTTCATCCCATTTCACATTATCTATTATATATTTTGATCCTCATTTACACTTTCAGTTTCTCACACTAGAGAAACAATTTGGTATTTACACATGTGTGTCCTATTTATTTCACTTAAGAGTATGACTTCAATGTGCACCATTTAGCTATAAATATCTCTAGTTTATCATTCTCTATGGCTCCATTTTATAAAAACAATAGTACTCCATTTTATTAAAAAAATAAACAAAAACCACATCTTCTTTATCCAGTCCATTGGGCAATTGGTCTGTTACTGAGTTTTAACTATTACAAACTGTGCTGCTATAAACATTTTTTTTTTTGGAGACAGGGTCTCACTGTGTAATTCAGGTTGGTCTTGAACTCACTATGTAGCCCAGGCTGGCCTTGAACTCATGGCAATCCTCCTGCCTCAGCCTCCTGAGTACTGGGATTACAGGCATGTGCCACCATGGCCAACTGGCTTCTGCTTCTTGGAAGACCCAAACTAACACATGCCTAGTATATTATATGTTGTTTTTATGTGTGTGTGT